AAATTAAGCTTCTCTAAATTGAATTATAATTTATAATGCCATCAATATTTCTCATAATTTGGCTAAAGAGAGAAAAAAAAAAACACTGCCGTCGACCAGTAGACAAGGGCAAACACAGCTGCTAATTCAAGTGGTAACCACAGCTGCGTCACAGTAACATGTTTTATGCTTAATGTTTATTATTGACGTCATGTTGAACAGTAAATTCTGTCGGTGCATGTCACTTATAGGTTTTATGTCAACCATCTTTGTTGTGAAAGTTTTCTTTATTAAAAAAAAAGTTTGTGCCAGTAGGTGAGCAGCCAAAGCATGCTAGTCGCTAGCCTCTCTGATGCTAACACAAATGCATAGTCCAGCCCATGGCTTCCCATTTGTGGCGTGCCTGGCAGGAGCTGCTATGGTCCCAACAGAGTGCATGTTAGCAAAACTTGATTAATATTTCTGCACAGCGTTGAAAACAGTTGTAAAGTCTGACACACCTGTTCTTCCATAAAGTCTAATACTGTTAATGTAGTTTGGAGGTTGACAGAGATTTTGACTCCCAGTTTCAGCAATGAGTTTATGATAAATTGCATCACATTTTAAGTGTTCTTCTTCGTCTTTGTCACTAATAAACTGAATGATTTTATATTAGGAATACCTTGAAATAAACACAATTTAAAGCTTAAAGTCACAATACAACAATTTGCGTTCATGTGCCTAATGGAGAGGTCAATATATCATGTATACAGCAAATTTACCTTTCTTTGAAGGAGCTCGTTTGGATTTCTCTTTTGTAAGCACTGCATCTAAAAAAAATTAAAAAAATTAATGTCACAAGTGGGCAAAATTATATAATTAAAAATTGATATTAAAACAAATATAGCTTCTATGACCAAGCCTACCTTTCTTTTCATGGGTTGTTTTATCTTTTTTCTTTGCTTCATCAGCATCTGTGGAAATACAGTAAATTTAATATTTTTGTGTTGTCAYGTTTACACAGGAAACTATTCACTGTTTTACCAACTTTTGATAAGAACTTAGTAATTTAACTCCTTTACTTCTTAACATTTCAAACGTGTTTTTAATTCTATTTTTAAAATTAAATAACATTGTTTTTCTACAATTCTTGTAGTGTTCCTATTACCTAGTTTAACAGGTGTAGGCCTGATTTTTGGTTGTAGTTCCTTTTTGTGCTCCTTTAGGGCTGTCAATGGCAAAACATTTTACACATTATGGAAAATTATATATCAATGCGTGTATTGGTATTTTTTTTTAAAAATGACTACTTGACTATTACAAAACATGAGTTCGGCTTTTTTGCTAAATTGTTAAAGTAACTAAAGTATGAAAGGATATGTGAAAAATTATTTTAACAAAATAACTTAATACAAACAATACAAACTTTGCTTTCACCTGTTTTCACCAGTTCTGGTTTAGCTTTCACTTCAGGAACTTTTGAGTATGAGAATGACAAAATAAACATATAAAAGTGTTTATTTCTGTAGCTGTGTGAGCTGTCACTACAGAAATGAACAAACACTAGATCCACTCGTCATCATAGTCTCACCAGCTTTTGTAATGTTACGATGTTCCTTCTTGAGGACTGAAGCAGACACCCGCTTCACTTCTGTAACTCGTTTTTTGGGTCTGACATCTGAAATGAAAAAAAAAAAGTTAATTATCAGTTTTTGTAAGGCAGTACAATCCTCGCTGTTCCTCATGATTCTAAGGTTTGACAATTTGACCAATATTTCACCTCTGAAAAAAAAAAAACCTGATAGTCAGACTGGAATTATATGACATGATATGAAAATTGTCTGAATTTCATTCTGGGGCATGTTTAGATTTGACACAGAATGACAATAAAACCCATAAAACAACTATCAATAAGTGAAAGATCAATAGTTTTTTTTCTTTAAAAAATGGCATACTGTCAGTGTATACCCCCAACCATTTCCTTATACCTAGTGAAGGTAAATATTCATCAAACTGTTTCCCCTGCCCCAGGTAATACTGTATGGCAACACTGGCTAAACATCGAAATGATAACACCACTCAAATAAATAAATAAATAAATAAATAAATAAATAAATAAATAAATAAATAAATA